TAACTCCAGCTCTGACTCCAGCTCTGAGATCCCAGCTCGCTGAAAGCTGGTTTCTGGGGTTTTTTTTAGCTTCTATATTTGTTAAAATGTTTCAAACTGCAGGCTCAGAGGCCTGCAAGGCAGGCGGGAAACGTTGGTTTCCTCCGTCACTGAAGCAAGCAAGCCTCATGTTAGTTTCAAGCTGCCTGGCTGCCGGCTGCCATCTTGGCTGACAGTTAATTTGCATATCTCGCTGATTAGCCAATGGGAAGGGTAGGGGTCATACGCCAATTACCATGTTTCTCTTTTATTAGATAGGACTAGAAGCCTGTTGCTCCGCCCATCCCAGGGCTGTGAGGCCTCGCGGCTCCGCTGATCCCGGGGCTGTGAGGCCTCACTGCTCCGCCAGCTACAGGGCCGTTTGGCTTGGCTCCACCGCTTGGAGCCTACATATGCAAATTAACCACCATCTTTGTTGGTGATTAATTTGCATATCGCCCTGATTAGCCAATGGGAAGCATAGTGAAGGTATGGTCAATTACCCTTTTTGTCTTTTATTAGATAGTATAGATAATTTAATTATGAAAAAAATCTGTGTGTAAGCAGTATAAACATAATTGGAGGAGTTATCACTTAAGAGTAAAAGAAAACTCTCAAGGGTACCTTAGAATCTCTGACCAATAACTAAAAGGCTGAGTAAAATCCTATCATTGAAGCAGAAGCTCAAAGAAATCCGCAAACCAAAACCTTGATAATCTGGAGATGGCTTTTTGAAAGCATGTCTTCTGAAAAGCAGTCTGCAAGTCACTTTCTATGATCTCAGATGGCCAGTTCTTTACCTAAATCCATCATTCCAAATTGGTGAAATGTTGGTGTATGAGCAATGTTAACAAAACATTGCAGGATGTCATTTTGTTTTACTAAAGGCAACTAAAATGTTTGACATTTTAGTGTAAGTTTTTGTTTCAGATTTTGTAGAGGAAATTTTTAAAAAAAGAATCGACCTATATCCCTGCCCCCTGCATAATGCCCTGTGATAGTGGCACGCAGGGACGCTCCTACTGTCTGAGCCTCAGGGGCCTCATCTGTAAAATGGGGATAATTGTGACCTACCTCACAGGCTTGATGTGATAATTAGTGATTTGCATTAAGCAGGAGATGAGTAAGCACTCAGACTCTACCCTTCCCTTTCTGAACTTTTTGGAACATACTCCTTTGCCTCCCTTGACTATTTGTTGTAGCCTAAGAACAAAACTTAGTTCAGTGGTGACTGAAGCCAAACTTTAGGTCTTCTGTCCAGCAAAAGTGGGCTGCAGAGCTTGCCTTATTCTTTCAGCCAACATTTTTGAAAACCTCCTATTTATAAGAAACAGTACAAAATAGCTTAGAGCAAAGTCCAATAGTCATCTTTTAGGCATAATTTCAAAAGCTCTTTGTCTGCCTAAGTGCTGGAATGTACACATCACCCAGGGCTTTGAATTAAGGCATTGAAAACCACAATTCTTAAAAAATATATATATATATATGGTTAGGATTGCTAACATCACACCCAATAAGCATAACCTGTTTCTTTCTTTTTATGTTCACTAGGATACATTAGTTTATGGCTTTAAAAATTGTATACAATATGTTACACAAAATTATATTTAGGAAGAGACTTTCAGCAATTGTTTCCATTTTTCTTTTTCAGATTTAGTTGGTTCATTGGAGACTCCAAGATGTGCCCTGCTATGGTGTCTGCTTAGTAACTTTTGAGGGACTAGCCTCTGCCGTGCCCTTTGCTCATGGGTTAACAGCCTGGGATTGGCTCACTCAATAAGTGAGACAGCTCACCCTTTGCCCTTTTTTTATGACATGGAATTCTCAAAAACGAAGAGCTGGTGAGGCTGCATTTTCCAGCTTTGGCCGGGGCTAGCAACCTTTGTATCTTAGTTCTGTCCTCTTAGCATCTAACATTATTTTCTTCTCGCCGTTTCCCCCTTGCCGATCATAAATGGTTAACCAGAGCTCTGCTGGGCAATCCCCCTGCAGCCCCAGTCCATGAAGCCTGCTGCGCCCCTTCCCTCCCTGGCTCCTTCCTCTAGTCCGGCCCCACAGGCTCCCCTGGCCTCTCTTGGCCCTCTTGTTGTTCTCTCTGCGCCTTTGTGGCAACCCAGGGCCTTTTCTTTTCCTCTTCCTTCCTTTCTCCTGGGATAGCTCTATACGCTCTTGGACCCAGTTGAAACAACACAAAGTAAAAATAAATGAAAACAAGAAACCAGTTCTGTGCGGAGCCAGCAGAGCATGTCCATGGGCCAAAGTGGAGCTTTCAGTGTTGCCCTCTGCTTCTCTGGGACCTTGAGAGGCAGCAGCAAGGATTTCCATGTGCAACGAAAAACCCACCCTAAGCCCCAGGGGAAACACTGTGATAACACTGACTGAAATTGGCTCTCATCACCCTCGGTTTTCCCCTCCGGCAGTGTTCTTAGAAACGGGGAAGTCAACAGAAGCGTCTGCTTCTACGTATTTGGCAGTCGTAGAGCTTATTAAGTAATTTTGAAATTCTTACAGTTTTGTTCACATTTCAAAATAAAGTTCATCTGCAGGAGTCCTTGCATCACTTTTTGGGTGCTCAGAGAGATCGAATGCCAGGGCGTGAAATGTCGCTGCGGTAGTTGCAGGAAATTAGCCATCTTCTCTTGTCAACAGTAGTTGTGTATTTTAGCTGTTTGACTCACTGCAGCAGTGGGCAGCCTGCTTTCTTGGGAACTGTCGTCAGTGACCTTCCCCAGCACATGTTTTCAAACAAGGTGCCTCCTTCCTGGCTGCCTGCATCCAGGTCACTTTATGGCCCCGACATCTTCCCACAGCCCATGGTCCCCTGCACACATCACACTTCAGAAAGCATCACCTGGGACTAACTCACAACTGTTTTCATATATATTTCAGAAGGTTGTGTCCTTTCTCTCTTACTCTGGGTTTTATGCAAGTATAACTGAATTTGGACGAAAGATGCTCTGAGAGAACCCTGTTTTAAAGGATTCAGAGTAGCGTGTTTGAGAGCAATGAGTGCATCTGTGAAATAGTCACCTTGTACTTATTCATGTTGTAGGTCCAGACTTTTCCCCAGTGGGTTTGCACAGAAGGATTTGGTTAACAAATGCGTTTTCTCTGGGAAGGGCACTTTCCAAAGTGCTACACAAAGTGCCTGGGTTTAGACACATTGCAGTTATCAAACAAGTAGTGTATCATTTTGTAATATATTAGTGTGCACAATAGGTACACAATGTTATATGTCAGTTACATCTCAATAAAGCTGGGGGAGAAACTGTGTTTTCTTTGCAGCAACTATAATAATAAAAAATGGATACATTTCAAGATGGGCTGTTGTGCATACATATTATAAATGAGTTGAAAAGTGATTAGAATATGTGAATTCTTTTAAAAAAAAATCAATGTAGAAATATCAACTCTAGGAAGGGAATGAGAATGGCTAGTGTGTGCCTACTATGTGCCAGGTCCTGGAGAAAATATTTTAATATCAAATGCAGCTCTGTGTAGGGTTTGAAATGCCTGGCTGTAAGGATTCCATGACAGAAGGTGTACAGAGCATCTAGTGCCACACTGATGTAATATTAATAAATATTAGCTGTTTAGTTTATTCCATTCAATCCTTTGATGTAGTCAGTATCCCCATTGTACGGATTAGGAAGACTGAGTCTGGAGTGATCTAAGTAACTTGGACCAAATTTTCAAAATTAGGTTGCAGAGGCAGAATTTAGAACCAGGGTTCTGCTGGACACGCTGATAAAAACCTCTAACCAGGGGTTATTCTTCTAGGCTGCCAGGATGATCTGTGCTAGGGATTTTTTTTATGATGGGAAAAACCATCCCAGCTAGAATACAGTAACACCCACTACTGAGAGGCAAAGTTTTCTTTACGGGCAGCAAATTCACAAATAATGTATAAGTAAACATTCAGAAAAACATTCCAAGGACCCATCTCAGCAGTCAACCATTCTTAGAGTCTTTTTTCACTTTCAATAGCAAAGTCTTAGCTCTATGGATAGGTCTATGCTTTTCAAAATCTGTGCATGGTTTATGAAACATGCCCAATACATCAGTCCTGTCCATACCTCTGCTGTGTAAATGTCATCGTCTATGCAAATATCAATTTGTAATGCCAGATTAAGGAAGTTGTAAGGATGATATTCCTATAGCACCTGGAAGGCAAGCTTCCAGGATTTTGGGGGGTTGGGTAGGGTGGGATGGGGGAGTAACTTTTTAACTAGCTGCTATAGTTTTCATCTCTTCTCATGTTGGGAGCACCAAGTGATGCTGGCGACCTCAGTCCCTGGGATACAACCATTGGGCGTGGATGTCAGTGTTGTTCCAATAGCCCCACTAGATGTGGGCACCAATTAAGGACGCCCTTGTTTTCATCTTCAAGGTGCATGGCTTGGTGGCTTAGTGACCAAGTATGGCTGCTGTAGGACAATGATGTCTGTTTTAATAGTGAAGAAGTTCAGTGGTGTTGGCATTGGAACTGGAAAGTCATTTTGCTAATGCAGGATTCCACTTCCCTGTGTTGAAATTCTGGGCAAATCAGTTACCTGCAGCCCAAGCTACAGCTACACATAGGATTTAGCTCTTGTAATAGACTGATTCTCTTTTTCCTTTTAGAGGTGTGTATATAAGAGAGAATGGAATTAAACTTCAGTTTCACAAATGAATGTGAGCTTAGTATAAAGATAGCAGAGAACAAGGAGAATTGGGGCTGGTTATCACATCATTTTCATTGCAGTTTACTTCCTAGCACTTAACCTAGTCCAAATATTTTCTTCACAACATCGCTACCTTCGGAGTTACTCAGATGCTTAGCTGTATTCTGCCGTCTAAATTTGTATCTGCAAGAAGGCCCAGGGTGTGCGCATCAAATTCCATGCAAATGGAAAGAACCCACTTAGGATGCTGTACAGGATGGGACGGTTCCAGAAGCTTCCCGGCACCGCATTTAAACCACTCTGGGTCTTCCTCTCCAGGGTTCCGCGGATTCCTACACGAGCAGGCCCTCGGACTCCGATGTCTCCTTGGAAGAGGACAGGGAAGCGATCCGGCAGGAGAGAGAGCAGCAGGCGGCCATCCAGCTGGAGAGAGCAAAGGTGACTCCTGCCCCTCTTTGGTTCTGGGGCGGAATGTTGATCAGTTGCTCTTCCCCTGCCTCGGATTTCTCTGAAAGCATCATTTTATGATCATCCTGATAAGGCCCCAGGTTGCAAGGCTTTCTGATCCATTCGCCCCTAAATGAGGTTTCAAAACATTCCCGGGGGAGCACTTGCCCGAGACACTGACACGTCACCCTTTTGTGTTTGGTTTGGAGGTGAAGTGTTTGGTCATCTTCCAGCTTAGCAGTCGTAGCCAATACCAAGCTCACCACACCCGGTGTTGGCAGAGCCACCTAAGGTTCCAGCTTCACCACCTGTTCCATGACAGTGGCCTTCATTTCAGGCCACACTTGTTCTGGGGCTCTCCCTGTTGATCTCCCCTCTTGGTTTCAGTCTCCCACCTCAAGTTCAGCATGACGTTCAGACCTTTGAACAAGTATTAGCATTGCAGCCAAGACGAGCAACAAAGGCATTGCAAAATAGACCTTCAGATATCCACAAGGAGGGCTCCCCCCTCCCCCACCCCAGGAATCTCTGCACCCACAGGAGGCAACAAGTTGCACGTGTAAATGTCAGGATGGGAAGAGTCACATAAGCGTGTTAAAAGAGCAGAGAGAGAATGGTGCCGGCAATGAGGCAGCCTCCTCTGCTCCCACACCTGCGACGTCTGTGCCGGTCGGAGAGGGGCTTTGGGGCAGTGCCTGCTAAGGGACATCAGTGGGACCCTCACTCAGGTCCTGTCTCCAGCACTGCTCCCCAGCCATGTTCACAGCTCGAATGCAGGAGCCATAACAAAGCAGCCGGGGTGGCAGGAACCATGTGCCCTCATTTGTGGCTAATTTGTGTTTTAGTTTTCTCGCAGAGTCTGTGTTGTGGCCATTGTGGTCACCCAAACGTCAGGGCAGTGGTGCTAGCGTAGCTGGGGGTTTGTGTAACCTCTGCCAGGTGGCACCAGCCCAAGGGCACTTGGTCCAAAGGCGTTTTGGAACCAGCTCTTGGTAGCTGGGCGGAAGGCGATGAGTGAGCAGCTCTGCCTTCCTGTCCACGTCCGCGGGCCTTCCTCTTCCCTGGCAGGATAAGGTATTCTACTGAGTGGGTCCCACAGGCTTTCAGATCTGAGCTGCTCACTCAACTCCCCCCCCCCCGACCCCCCACAACCTTTTTATTTAAGACCCAGCACCCGTTTCCTGTATCCAAAGGGGTGGGGGATGTGACTAGGGGACAAAGCAGACAGCCCCTCCCACTGCCATTCCTTTTCAATGGTTAAGGGCACATTGTTTGTCTGGGATGTTGGAAAGTGCCAGCACAGGGGGAGGGAGGGTGGGCTGGTAGGACTGAGTCGGTGGCACTGAATCCACAGTTTTCAGTGCCACGTCTGCAGGTGTCTCCATGCTGCCTGACCCAGGGAAACCCAGTGAAGATCCGTCCCCCTTTGCAAAGAGATTTCCCCTGCTGCCTGGTCTTATCAATTGTCTTGTTATAATACTATATTTCAATATGAAAATTCCTCCTCTGTCTTCCTCCCTCCATCCCACTCCATGGCTCTGGGCCCAGTCCAAGCCTGTAGCCTTTGCTGTGAAGACGAACGTGAGCTACTGTGGCGCCCTGGACGAGGATGTGCCTGTCCCAAGCACGGCCATCTCCTTCGACGCCAAGGACTTTCTGCACATTAAAGAGGTAAATGGAGGGCTCTCTGCGTCCCCTAACCTGCCACGAGGCCAGGGCCTGAGCTTTGGCTCACGGTCATCACGAGGCGGATTTAGGACACACGTGGGGTCCTCTGGCCACCTTTTAGTCACTGTGCATGACCACAGAGCCGTAGATTTGGATCCGACTTAGGGAAGCATCGGCTGGCAGGGCGCCTACCTGAAGGGGCCATTTAGACAGGATGTGGTCAGTATAAACATCTGGGTTATAACCCTGAGGCCTTGGACCTTGGAACCAACACTAATGAGTGTAATCATTAAGGTGTTAAAGCTAAAACCTGGGGCAGAGGTCTTTGGGAAACAGAAAGCTTAAGGGATTGAGCAGTACAAGGAGGGCTTGGAGCCTCTCAACTCGAAAGGTGAACTAGTGACACCGCAAACTTTTATTTACTCAACCTGGGTACATTGAATCCTACTTCACGTCAGACATGGTACTGGGCATCTGGGGGGACCAGAGGTGGAGGCTCCCGTTCCCTGCTGCCAGGGAGGTCCGAGCTGGTGGGAGAGACTGACAAGTGCACAATTTTCATACGGGGTGACAAGTTCGATGGCAGCACAATTGAATGGGTGTGGTGGGAACCCAGATAAAGAGCTGGGGGGTGGGGGGACCACCACACTGGGGAGTAGAAGGATCAGGGGCCGGAATGCTCTACAGAAGTGGTGAAGCCTGAGGGAGCCAGGCTGGGGTGGGGGTGTATCCGGTGGAAGGGACAGCCAGGAGCAATGCAGATGGCTGGAGGGCAGTAAGCAGGGAGTGGTACTGGGGATAGGCCAGGGCAGAGAGGCTGGAGCCTGATTTGTGTTTGTTGGTTTTTTTTAAAAAAAGGTCCGTGTGGGCCTGGCAAGAAGCCTGGACTTTATCACCAGGCAGTGGGCTGGAGAGGAATTTTAAATAAAGGCCGGATGTGACCAGCCTGTGTCTTAACATAACTTAGATGACGAGAGGGTATTACAGAGGCGGGGGAGACACCATGGGGCCGGACAGTGGCTGTGGCAGACAGGATGGAGAGAGGCAGCAGCTTGGAGAGAGAGTGAAGGGGCAAACAGACAGGATTGGGAGATTTCCCATGGGCAGAGAGTACTGGGAAAGGTGACATAAGAGAAATGAAGGGTGGAGGCTAGTTTTTCCAGCTCACCTGGAACAGCAAGGGTCAGCTATCAAAATAAGGAAGGCAGAGAGGGGAGAAGACTTATTATGGGGGTGGATGTGGTTAGAAGTTTGCTTTCAGATATACTAGGTCAGGGGTGCTGTGAAATTCCCATGAAGATACTTAGTAAAACTTTATCCATATATTCTGGATGCCAGAAAAGCGGAATTGCAATTTTCTCTTCCTAAATGCTAGCCGTTGGAAAGGAGACTGGGCCCCAGTCAGAAGATAAAGAGCTGAAGCGTTGTTTTTAAATTTAGCTTTTCTTTTTCTTTTTTTTTTTTGTTTTTAAGATGGGAAATATTTAAGCATATTTTCCATGCTGAGATGTTGAACCCAGTGAACTATATTGGAAGGAAAAGGCAGAGCTGAAGGAGGGAGGGGCTGGAGTTGAGGGGAGAAGACAGCATCTGGAAAATGGGCACAAGAATTAGGCTGAGTCAGGAGGGAAGCCTTGCCTTCCTTCTCTGTTCTGCACAGAATTTTCTGATGGGGCCGGGGGCCTACACTGGAGGAATTTTCTGATGGGGCCGGAGGCCTACTTGGTAGTCTCCATTGGCTCCACTAGAGGAAATATTGGAAATTAGACCTTAGAAAAAGGAGATCATAGAGGTGGGACAATAAGATGAAACCTGAGAATGGAGGAGCCTGAAGAATGTGATCAACATAAACATGTCACTTAATGTCACTGAGGTGCTTGCATGGTAAATATATAACAATTTTGAAAATCATTGTCTTTGAAACTCTGCATTCTACCATGGCATTAGTGATACCGGGACGTATGTAAATAGTTTTAACTATTTATTACTAAGTGGGTCAAACATCTGGATATCTACAGATGTCTCACTCTCCTTGCATTATACCCATGTGACCTACATTTGTATAGTCACTCATTTGAGATATCATTCTAAAGTATATGCCAGGCCCTACAGATATCCAACAGCTACAAATGAAGTAGATCCTTTTCTCATAGACTTAACCCTTTGAGTGCCAACCACTATCCTAAGAACTATGCTAAAATTGCCAAGGCATTTTTGCTGATTTTACAGCAGTTTAGGAAAAAAATTATGAAAATTAGGCAGATAGATGCCAGTGGTCAATTTTAGAACTACAAACATTTGGCGTCATAAGTAATCTGCACTTCGGTGCCATCTGTCAATAAAGAATGAACTACTAGCATCTAATAGTGACACTGCAGGAGGAGCGCGATCGTGCTCCCGGCACTTTTGGGGAAGGACTGGTGGAGCGCGATTGCTCACTCAGGTTAAATTCTTCTGAGGACACAGATAATGAACATATTAATAATTTCACATTGTGAATTCTTTGGGGGGGGAAATGAACCAAATGCTGAAATTTTTTAAATATAAGGATGAGGGGGTTATATACTTCCAAATATAGGAGTGATCAGAGAAAGCCTTTGTGAGAATGTGACCTTTAAACAGAGACCTGAAGGATGAGGAGAAGCCAGCCTTAGAGCAAGGGGGAACCTTCTAGAACAAGGAATCTGCATGTGCAAAGGACCTGGGGTAGGAAAATAGCCTGGCACAATCAGTTTACTGGGAGAAAGTCATACGGCTGGAATGCAGTGAGCCAGGGCGCCTAGTTGCAGGAGACAGCGTTGTAAAAGTCAAGTAGGGCATAAGTCAGGTAGGACCTTTCAGTGATGGTGAGACTACAGATTTTATTCTGCATGTAATGAGAAGTGAGATAAATTTATTTTTTAAAGGTTCTCTGATTGTGGTAGAGACAATGGATGGGAGTGGGATAAGTATGGAATCAGGCAGACCATTAGCATCATTCTAGGTGCGAGACCATGGGTTCGAGCCAGCATGGTGACAGTGAGATAGAGAGAAGTAGACGGATTTGAGGTATATTATAGAAATTCAGAGAAGAGCACAGGTGATGGACCCAGAATAAGAACTGAAATTGAGCAACTGGGATGGATATTATTTGGGCGGGGAGAGGACAGATGGGGAGAGCGGTTGGGGAGTGGACACTTCAAAGAAGATACCAAGTAGGAAGTTAGCTATAAGAATCTGGAGCTCAGAGGAAAGGGTTGGGCCAAAGATAATAAATTTGGATCATTTGTTTATGCATGGCATTTAAAGCTGTGATAATGAAGGAAGTCACCTACTAAAAAAAAAGGAGTAGAGGGAGGAGAGAAGGTAGCTCTGCATCAAACCCAAAGGAATCCCATCCTGCAGAGATGGTGAACATGATAAGATTCAACAAATTAAAACTAAAAACGAAACTGAAAAGGAGAAGTCTGAGATAGAGGAGGAAAACCAGGGCAGAGCGATATGTGTACATCAAGAGGGGAGTGTGTCATCAAGGAGGAGGCAGTCAGCTGTGGCAAATGGGACATGTCACCCAAGGTGAGGAGTGAGGAATGGACATTGGATTGGCAGCGTGGTGCTCAGCAGCATGGAAGTCATTGGGACCATTGTCTGGAATTGAAGAGATGGAAGCCAAATGAAGTGGGATGAGGAGAGAAGGGGAGTATATTTCAAGTGTAGACAATGGTTTTAAGGAAGTTGACACTGAGAAGGGCATGAATTCAAAAGCAGTTTCCTTTCAAGACAGGAGCTATGGAAACATTTGTACATGCTGATATTAACAAAGGGGAGAGAGAGAGAGAGAGAGAGAGAGAGAGAGAGAGAGAGAGAGAGAGAGAGAGAAAGAAGAAGAAGAAGAAGAAGAAGAAGAAGAAGAAGAAGAAGAAGAAGAAGAAGAAGAAGAAGAAGGAGGAGGAGGAGGAGGAGGAGGAGGAGGAGGAGGAGGAGGAGGAGGAGGAGAGGGGAGGAGAGGAGGGGAGAAGAGAAGATAGGAGATTAGAGGAGAGGAGAGGAGAGGAGAGGAGAGGAGAGGAGAGGAGAGGAGACAGGCAAAGGAGTAAAGTGTTTGAGTAGGCAAGAAGGGTGGGGTCCAGAGCCCAAGTGCAGGGATAGACCTTTGACAGGAAGGGGAACACTTCTTCACTGAACGTGCAGGAAAGAGATGAGTGCAGGCAAAGACTGCCTTGGTAATGGGAGGCGGATGAAGCATCAGCTTGATGGAGTGTGCTTTCTTGATGGTTGACATTTGCCTGGAAGACAAAGGCCCATGACCTGAAACATGTGCCCTGGTATATGAATGGTTAAGTAGATTTTGTCTCACCATTCCCATCAAAAATGGCCAACCATATTCATTAGTTGCTAACACTCTCTGTTTCCAAGGAAAAGCAGAACTTTCAAAGATAAGAGTTCTCACCTATTCCATCCTCACACACACTTGCGCACACCAACATGCCCACCTTGCTGCATTTTAGTGCTTTCCCCCAACCTGTCAATATTCCCAATTTGTCCTGTCGGTTGCTTTTCAATCTATATGCTCCTTGATCAATGACCCCTTTAATCTGGCAGTTCGATGCATGGTATTGAGCTGGTAATCCCATGTGGATTAGAGCCACTTGTTTCAAACCTTGAAATATCAGATAAGGAAACACCTTAGAAAGAGAAAGCACTAATCCTTTTAGGGAGATCAAGATGAGAATGATTGGAACACTGGGGTGACCTTGCCAGGAAGCTGGCACATGCTCTTGGAAGAGCAACTCCAATGAACACATTTCTAGAATGAAGTTGTAGCCTCTCCTCCCATCCATTGCCTCATGGGCCATCTATCATGCACTGTTTTAAGTACTTTTCAGTAATGAAAAAGCTTAGTTAGTAAATGCGGAGGAAAGCTGCAGCTCTCCTTATCACCTACACCAAATGATGCGCCAATTGAACTCTTGAATGTCTACAGTGACTTTCTCTCAAGTGGCTCAAAGAACATTCATTTATGTTGCCTCAGATTCTCTCTGGGCTTTGGCTGTTTCCTATAACTCAGTTAAAACATATTGGGAAGCTGCAGTAACTATTTCAGGAAGCCCTTTAAGGTCGCTTGGATACCATTTAATAAATTAGTGTTCCAGTGGGCTCACTTAATTTCAGGAAATAACTTAAGCCCCAGGAAACTATGGCTCAGGGTCTGTTTTGTCCCCACCACAGTGAAATTTCAATACCAGTCCTGTGCACCAAAGATTCTAAAAGGGTCCTTTTGCCTTTTGTTAATCCTAAAATAAATATACCTCTTACTTCAGGCCTATTATCCCAAAATAAGATAGGAAGATGGGAAAAACTAAAACCTAGATTGTTCAAAATTTTACATTGGTTCAACTCATGCTTCTTTGGTGCGATCTCATACTGCATGCTATGTGTGCCTTATGTAGGAGCTGTGTGCAACATAAAGGCACTAAACCCTTCAACCACATCTTTTTGCTTTTGAGTGTGAGGCTGTTATTCAGAATTACTCACAGTTATGCAGAACTTTGTGCTGTGATGATGCGATGAAACCATCCATTCTTCCTTCACAATGTGTCAATGTTACGTGCATATAAATTCCACATTTTTTTCTGAGCTAAGCAAAGTGTACTATATAAAGTTGTTACATTTTGGGGGGAAAAAAGATACTTTTGGATCAAAGCTGGAGAGTTATCTTGCCCAACACTAATAAAAGCAATAAAAGACGTTCTGGGAATCATCTCCGAAGGGTGTAAACAATATCTGCTCTCTAGAAATCCCTAGCTGAAACTTTTCCTTAAGGCAGGTCGGTTGGATTAAATGTGCCTTCTACCCTAGGGTTCTGCAAATCTATCGTTATAACGGCAGTTTTGCTGGCCCTTCAAATGGGTCACCCTGACAGAGTCTCCCCCTATATTGACTGAAGTCTCTGCATGGGTGGTTTGAGTTTACGGTCATGGAACTTTATTTAAATAGAAATCCTGTTCTTCCTGTTGGGCTCAGGCCATGTAGAGGTTATTTCAAAAAAAGTCCACACACACATATAGAATATGTTTATTCTCTGTAGGCTCGGGCTTCTTTTTCTTCAGGTAGGAAGGTGGACCTTGATTTGCAAGCCTATGTTTGGCAGCGTGGGGGGAAATTGTACTTTTGCCCTTCTAAATTCTTCTGGCTAGTCTAATAACCAAGTGAACATGAGACAGAGTACCAGGAGAGACAACCAGATTTACTATGTATGCACCTACAGGAGTTCCCCAACAACAGACTGGGCAGTTACGATTTATATGTCATTCTGGAGCTAAGGAGAAAGTGTGTGTGTGTGTGTGTGTGTGTGTGTGTGTGTGTGTGTGTGGTTTGGCACTGCAGAGGGCAGCAAGACAATTCACAAGGAGACGAAAAAGCGTCTTATGGTTCATATTAAACTATAGTTATATAAAAATATAAACTATAGTTATCTATGATGATATTGCCCTTCCTGGAGCGGGTCCTCTAAGTTCTTTTAGGCAGTTAGGGAGAAGGTCAATGGTTTTTTCCTGAGTCTTTCATTTCTTGAAAATAATCAGCTTAAAGTAATATTTGGGGTGGCCCATTTTGGGATTGTAAACTCTGCTTCCCCTCAGAAGATTATAACTCTTCCTCAATGAGAGTAGATTACAGAGAGTATCATGGATTTTTACCTAAAAGCTTTTGACAAATAGCAGACTATTAAATGTTTTCATTTTAGACTTGCCTATCTTATCTTCCAGAATTTCAATTACACCGGTACATGTTTAGTCTCATACAATCTGTTCCCTAAGAATTGGCTAAGGCTTTTTGATAGGGACCAAAGGATCCAAAGGTTAGGACCTGACTGCAGGCCAGGGATTTGCAAACTGTTGCCCGTCTGCCTTTTTTTTTTTTTTTTTTTTTTTTGGACAGAAAAGGTTTATTGAAACACAGCCACACTTACGTGTTTCTGCATTGTCCGTGGATGCTTTCCCATTACGACAGCAGATTCAAGTCGTTGCAACAGAGAGTATATGGACAGCAAAGCCTAAAAAGTTACTATCTGGGCCTTTAGATAAAAAGTTTGTAGACCCTGCCTTTGTGTTTATATATATATAATATAGTACAATATATATTATGAATGGTGGTTCGTCCTTCTGGTCCCCTGAAATTAATAAGTGGGATGTGAAGATAAGTATGTTCCTATTGATAGCAGTTTTATTTCTGCATTCCAGAAGTATAACAATGACTGGTGGATAGGAAGGCTGGTGAAGGAGGGCTGTGAGATTGGCTTCATCCCAAGTCCACTCAGATTGGAGAACATCCGCATTCAGCAAGAACAAAAAAGAGGACGTTTTCACGGAGGGTAAGCCTCCTTCCTTTCTATAAACATCGGGGAGGTGTGGGGAGGTGTGGGAACATTTGGCGATATTTTCAAGTTTGCTTCCTGGGTTCAAACTTTGTGCTTTCAAAGTAAAAGATACTTTACTATGTATGAGGTGTTTCTGAAATGGACACACAGGTGTTTCAGATATTCATTCTCCCTGAAGCTGGGCACCACTGGAATCCACATGAGTTGCCACAGCCTCAGCAAACGCTGCTTGGAATCTAAGCTGTCCTTCATCAGGGTCCCATAGGGCGTGGTTCTCAGTACAGGAAGTGGGAGCCGGCTTGAGAGGGCATCCTAGCTCTTCCTGGTTCACTCTCAGAGACTGTCTCTCTAGTTGGCACAGAATGCAGTGGTCTATGTGGGTCCTGGTACCAGTAGCACCTTCTCCACCCCGGGCTTCTTGTGGCACCTGCCATGTCTTGGTAATAAGGTAAAGACTCTGCCTACCTTCAGATGGATCCGCCTCTAGGGAATGAATGAAGTAGCCACATATCTCAGGGTGCAGGTATTTCAAGATTCCAGGGATAGAGCAGAGCCTTAGAGAAATCGGACTCATATGGAGCCTGCACATGTGAGCCTACATGGAAGCTTTGATTGGATATGTGTTGTCATTTTTTTGTAAGGCCTAAAATAGAAGCAGTTCTTTCTCTTGACCCTCAACCTCCTTTTTCTGTTATATCCTTTTCTATTTCAATAACTCCTCTGTTTAGGGGTCCTGTTGCCTTTGGCATATGGGAACCTCTTAAACAGTGATAGAAATAAAAGTACAGACAGCCCCACTTTTACTTATCAATTTTGTTTGGTATTCAACACTCCTATAATATTATTAATTATTAATTCCTCTTGTTCCCCCTGCTCTAAATTTTCTCTCTCTCTGGATGCTCTTTAAACACATCCATACTACATTTCTGCCTCAGGACCTTTGTACTTGCTGCTTCCTCTTACCGGAACTCTTTCCTTCATATTCCCACCAGATCATTCCATCATCTGCTTCAGATCTTCGTTAAATATCATCTTTTCAGTGACCCCTTTCCTGCCACCATATTTAAAATTGTACCCATTTCCCATCTCCATCCTGACTTAGTTTTCTCTGTTGCATTTATTAATATGAGAAATACTATATATTTACCTATTCATCTGTTTGACACTAGTATCTCCCACAGATAGAATCTGTCTCTATATGTGAAGGGATTTTGCATCTCTCCCCCCACTGTTGCACCCCTAATTTTTAGATCAGTGGATACTCAATAAAGATATGTTGAATGAAATAATAAATATCTCATTATCACTTCCAAAGTTGTTGTTTACTTATTATTTTTATTACTTATCCTTTTCCATAATATCATTCTAGACTTAAATCCTTTTGAACTGAAAGCTTACTTTGCAGAAGGTGCAAGAGTCAAGCCAAGAGCTACAGATAGGATCTTATTTTCTTGATACTGACCCTGGGAGGTGTAGCTCCTTCATCAATAGATGAGGAAACTAAGACTCAGAGATGTGATATGATGTGCCAGGACGAGAAATCAGATTGCTCTGACCCTGGGGACTGTACTCTGAAGCATGGAAAAGGGGGGACAGTGGAGAAGTGGAGAGGTGGGCTCCTGAGGGCCCCCAGGGGCTGCAGGGAAGCTTCCAGAGCCATGTGAGGAGAACAGTGCTGATGATCTTCTATCCTGGGGCGCAAAGCTGTCAGTGCTTAATTCTGATCCCCACATAATCCCTTCTAAGAAGAAACATGTCTTCCAGCTCTTACTGCTTGCTTTGAGCTGCGTTTGACATTGGAGTGGTGCCCTGGTGAGCTTGCTAGTGAAAAGCAAGCCGCTCACAAAAACGTTCTTATGCCTAATATCTGCATCGAGTAACCAGAAGAGAGATTTATGCTAAATATTTCCAGGTCCCAGTGAGTTCTCCGTTTTCTCTGAGAAATGAGGTCAAAGAAAACATTTGGACAGACTCTTGAAGTTTGTTCTGGACAGGATGTGGTGTGTTTTGAATTATCTAGGAGGATTAAGGCCAAGGAAAGCTTTGTGCTGTCTAGCTCTATTTTCAAAGGATCTGGGGAAGGACTCTTAAGTTCCTTTTCTATATTTTAGGAAGTCCAGTGGAAATTCTTCTTCAAGTCTTGGAGAAATGGTATCAGGGACATTTCGAGCAACACCCACATCAGCAGGTGAGGGTTTCACCTAAACTCTTTTTAATGGAATGCATTCATTGCTTGATATTTGCATATACATGCAAGTATTCTTACTGATTTGGAAACAATTTAAAAGGCGTGATTTTAAGATTTTTTGTCCTACTTAATATGTCATTGCTCACATGTCTTCTATAGTAATTTGATTTGATTTAAAGGTTAGTTGTGGTACTAAAAATTTAGATATTTGTATAATTTTGAAAAATCTTATTTACCTAACATTGTGTAAACCCATGTGAAGCTAGTTCATTATTCCATTCATGAACCCAACAGACTTTAAGATGGCGAGGACCAATTCAAAAGAACAAAAAAAAGTTGTAGACTCTCAAGAAAACACTCAGTTTCAGCTTCCATGGGCAGCTGTGGAGATTGGGAGGGTTGGGCCCAGATGACCTCAGTTCTCATTGGACAGCAGGCAGCTGAGCCCTGAAATGAATGGTAATGAAGGGAGAGTGGTGACCCGATCAGGAGTTGTGCATTTGGAAATTGTGGGGGTATTCAAGCAGGAAGTTTCCTCCCCCCACGCTTCCTGACTCCTCTGGGCTAATTTCATTCTGGCCCTGAATTGATGCTGCATTAGGGCATCCCGTCTTACCAGTTCGGAATGACAAGTCCAGGCTCCCTCCTGGCCCATACCTGCAGGGAGCGGCATCGGTTCTGGAGAAGTTCTGAGTGTGTGGGTGAACCCAACTAGGTCTCTGGTTCGCCCCCACATGGACTGGACCTGCTTGGGTGGCCACAAAACCACCTTAATCAGATATTGAGTATATTTTGCCTCATCCCACTTGTTGGACATTTAGGGCATTGCAGCTTTTCACTATTACAAACAAAAAAGAACAGGAATAACTGGTTATAAACTTATTTGAAATTAGGAGCAGCCTCGTAGGAAAAATGTATCAGTATCCTGGAATGTGAACCAAAAGACTGACGAATACATAAAGGATTGCAAAATCCAAAAAGAATGAGTGACTGCGGTGATGATGATTATTTTGACCCGAATTGTTATTCTCAGTTTCCCTCTATCACATTTTATTTGCCCAAGTCGACCTCAGCCGCTCTGTATGCCGCGTTCAGCAGGAAGCAGCCTGTGGCCCGTGCTGGCCCAGAGCTTCCAGTGTTGTTGTGAAGTCCACCCTCCCCACCCAACATGAGATCAGGATGTGAGGTCGCTCACACAGGGAGGAGGTGTCTGTCTTCTGATGTCCTCAACATCGGCCCAACCTGAAGGCAGTAGTAGAACCGTGTTCTGCAGAGAGGGTGACAGTGAAATGATGAGAATTACAGGCACAAATGGGCGTGTTATTCCTTCTTTTAAAGTCATGTACTATCATTTGCAGATGTTACATATTTTGATATGGCTCTCATTGTTGTCTTTTAGCCAAACAGAAGCAAAAAGTGGTAAGTGAGTATTTCCTTTTTAAATCTACTGTTAAGGTTTCTCTCCGCATATGCCTGCCATGCTCCATTTCAGTGGTCCGAATGGCTATAAAATAAGGGATGAGCCTCGCCGGTGGGGGCCCGTGGTCATCAGTTTTTGTTCGACCTGAGAATTGTGAATATTGTGGCTGACGAGGAGGCGCACTCATCCTCACCTTGTCACCCGTGTCAAATCATCTCTTTCAGACGGAGCACATTCCTCCCTACGATGTTGTGCCATCCATGCGTCCGGTGGTGTTAGTGGGGCCGTCACTGAAGGGTTATGAGGTACAAACACCAGCCTGTTCTGCTTCATTCAGCTCTAGATCAAGAATCTAGGAAACAGCGACTGAGTGCTGGCTCCTCCAGGGCCTGCTTACAGATGGGTACCCACAGAAGCCACCTCCCATCCTGTGCAGTGTAGGGCTTGGGGCTTCCCTCGCCCTTTCTCCCCGCTCCCCCGGGCACACTTCTCATCTATGATGTATTACATTGTTTAGAAATAAATACCTCCCTCAAACTATTGATAATGGCAAGTTCTGTTAAAAGGTTTACTCTGCAACACATTCAAAGAAAAGGACTTTATCTGTCTCAACCGTTCCCATTCCCATTAGAAATAATAGACTATGAACAGCAGAAGGGGACATATAGGCACTTTGCCAGCCAAACCTAAACCCTCAGAGCACCAAATCTCACCCTGCTGGTGCTCAAGTCGATGGCATAGTCCACCAAATATTTCTCTGCATATTTATTTCAAAAGACCTATAAAGGGAAAAACTCCACTAAAAATATTAGTGAACTTCTTCCCGATACCAGGTTGGAAGGAAAGAGTAAAGATGTAGATGTGCTACATTGCAGATGTTGCCATTTGGACCTTGTTCTAGCACAGGTAACAGGTGGGACATTGAAATCAGAAGGTGGGCAACTTCCAGGGCACCATTCCCACTGAGCTAGGACAATGTCTGGCCCTTACCTAGTAGGCACACAGTGTTCATTTGTTGAATGAATTCATCAGTTTCTTAGAGGCAGATCTAAGCATCCCATCTCCTTCCCAGCTCTTTTTCTCCTTTCCACTTCCTCTCCCTGGCCCTTCCCTCTCTGCTCTCTTTGAAGGGGAATGCCAGAGGAAGAGCAGGAGAGTGAGCTACAGAAATCTAGCCCTGAGCATAGAGAATTTTTAGCCACATGCACAGACTAGCAGGACTGCTTGAGCCCGGGGCTGGTCTGAGGGGTTTTAGCTGCTCCTCACTGGAGGCAAACACCACTCAGGTGTGTCAAGGACAGGCAGCACCTGTGTGCAAAGCCAGCCTGAGGTGGTCTCTTGGGGGTAGTTCTACACCCTCATAAGGGCGGGGGGTTGGGGTCTAGTGAACATTGCTGATTTATTCCTCCACACCCTGAAGGAGAACCAAGGGGGAAAATTAGTAACTGTGGGTGGTTAAGAATGAAAAATGCCTTCAACAATAACCTACCCCTTGGAGAGGACTGGCTGTCATAACATATTCGCTCAATCACAGTGCCCTGCCCTTCCACCTCCTTACTTTTGACTTCTCTTTCTCTCTGTGTGTGTTTGCCTCATTCTGTTTTTCTCACCTCTGCAAAGGTAACAGACATGATGCAGAAAGCCCTCTTTGATTTCCTGAAGCACAGGTTTGATGGGAGGTGAGACATATAGATATTTTTGTATTTTTTTCCTTTAATCAAACTTGTATGATGGATTGATCTGTGGGTCTGTGTTTTCAGCAATTGAAGATCTGTAGCTAAAAGTCAGTAGTCAGGGAAGAATACAATGAAAGAGCTCTGGAAATCTGAAGAAATGAAGGATAGCGTTGACTCCCCAAGGGAGAAAGGGCTTGGAGAAGGAAAATAATCCATTCATTCTATTTAAGTGTATGTGTCTGTCGTTATTTTCTCACTTGTTGGTGAATTCAGACCAAACTTGTTTTATTGAAATTATTAATTTAAAATATAGAATAATTATGATGAATATAGTGGCTCGCTGGTCAAGCTGGGTAATATCATTTGGGAATTACACGTGTATATGTGTGTGTGTGTGTTATATAAAGATATAATATAAAGTACTCAACTTGCTCAAAAAAAGAGTGTGAGAAATGTTTTCATCATAAGCCTCTCAAAGTGACTATTCTATGGAGAATAGTACTTCTTTGGATGCTTAGCTCAGGGTTTGTTTTACTATAAATTACCTTGTTATTTTATTGGTCTACTAGAGGCCCACTGCATGGGATTCGTGCACTGGAGGTGGGGGAGGGGGTCCCTCAGCCCAGCCTGTGCCGTATCACAGTCCAGGACCCCTTGGGGGATGTCTGCCTGCCACCCCAGGGGGATCGGGTCTAAGCTGGCAGTCAGACATCCCTCTCGCAGTCCAGGGCTCTCGCAGTCCGGGGCTTTCGCAGTCCGGGACCCCTCACTCCTTACCACCAGCTGTGAGCCCGGCGTCTGGTTGAGTGGTACTCCCCCTGTGGGAGTGCACTGACCACCAGAGGGCAGTTCCTGCATTGAGCATCTGCCCCCTGGTGATCAGTGCACATCATAGCGACTAGTCATTCTGCTGTTCAGTCTATTTGCATATTAGGGTTTTATTATATAGGATTTTGTATATATCCTTGCTCAGTCTTTAGCCATCAGATAATTTTATCATTTAAGTTTCTGTATTTTGCAGAGAAATGCTAAAAAGTTCACATTGACTCAACACTAAGTGCTAAGCTCTTTCACATGCAGAATGCAATCCATGTAAAAATAACCACCTGCAAATACCTGAAGATTTATTAAAATGAAGAAAATATAAATAGTGTGGACTAAAAAGTATGGCTAAATGAAGCCAACTTACCAAGTATTTTAATAAATATGGTATTTTAGGAAAAAAGAAAACATGATAATGCTTTAAGTACAAATTGTATATATTTGTCAAAGGAAACGCTTCTGGATAATTGTATTAAAATCGTCATTCCTTTCTGGGGCTATATACAAAGAAAATAAACTGAGGTTTTAGTTCCAATAATTGAGATTTTAGTTCAAGAAATCAGAATGCTTCAGTGCAATTATGTGAATTGCTAACTACCTTAGTATAGGCCAGGGTGCCTTAATGAATAGATCCTAAAATGCATAATGATTCAAACACAAGCTTGTTGTTGCTCATTTGACAGTCTTAGGCAGATGTTCCTCAACTGGAAGATATGGGGAAGGGGAGGATTGGGCAGAAAGTTGGTTCCACCCATCACTGGGGGCCCTCGGCCCAAGGGTGGTCTCTCCAATCATCTGGCGGGAAAAGAAGCATGCCGGCCTGGAAGTGACACACACTGATTCTTGCATTTCTTTGGTTAAACTTGGTCACATGGCCACATTTAATTGCAAAGGAGGCTGGGAAATATATAGTTTAGCTATGTGCCCAGGAGGAAGAGGATATAAATATTATTGAACAAATAATAGTGTTTGCCAAATTCATCTAGTGGGCCTAAAGAGCTATAAGCTAATCGTGGATTTATCCTATTCCCCTCTTTTTAAAAAAGATAGGAAAATAATAAAGTAGTTAATTATAAAAAAAACAAGTGAATAGCACTGAATATAATATCGGAGTTGGAGAAAAATGTAAAATATATTTTATTCTAATCTGTTTTCTCTAACAACCACTAACCTGCTTCTGTTTGAAGACTGTTGGTTTTTGGGAATTCATTTCTTAAGAAAGCATTGCAAAGCAACAGCTGAGCTCTGGCTTTAACTTAATAGTATTAGTCTTGGTCTTGCCCTCGGATGATCTGGGCCATAACCTTTCCCCCGATGCAGCCCTCTGTGGATTGGAGGCAGCTAACATGCATGGCTCAGACTTCAGTCTTCTTGGCCGCACATGCAGACATCCTTCCGCTATGCTTGAAGTCACGTGGTTTTAAACTGTGGCACCTTTACCTGAAAAAGATCTGAGCAGTGACTCTTCTTGTAGCCCCATAACAGCCCTTGAACTGAACAAATTCCATCTCATAGCACCACCAAAGTTTGTGTTGGATTGTTTTTGTCCCCACAGAACATTCTTATAAACAACAATGTTAAAGATTTGAAATGTGGGACCTGTGGGTTCTATCTCAATCCTCAGGCCCAGAAAGAGGAAATGCATGTAATGCTACACACAGAGATCTGTTTTGAATCAGGTAGAGTTGTCCGTATCAAGCACTTACACACACTATTGAAGATGGTGCTAGAAACAGAATTAAGATGTCAATGCCAAGTGTTCCATGGGGTCTGATAACACAGAGGAGGAGCGGAAGATCTGAGGGCAAATCCAACAGCAGCAAAAGTAATAGCTGGAGAAGGTGAGTCAGCCTTAAGAGATCTCATTTACGGCACAGTTGGAGAGAGACATTAAAGGTGGGAGTAGGTGAGTGGACTCGCTTTCAAAGGATAAGAGGCCAGTGCTGCACAGAGACCGGTACTGAATCTATTGGTTGAGCGTATGGGAGACTGATAAGGAAGAAGAGGTTTGCTTATCTGACTCTGACGTGTCTGCTCTGACATGTTGAGCCATGACAACCTGCTGCATTATGTTTTACCAATTAATAAAAGGAGAGAAAACAACAAATCATCTTTAATTGAAACCATCCAAGAGAACAATCACACAGAAGGCGTTCGCACAGCCACACAACGTAAACCATATGTTCTACTGGAAACCTGCTCTGTTTCACTGGCTATGGATGCAGTGGGTTAGACAAACTAGTCAGGAGAAAGTCCTATTTTTCTCAGAGCAAAAAAAGAGGCTTCCTTCTTCAAAACTGTTTTTCAGATCTTGGTTAGAAAATAATCCAACAAATTGGATTAAAGTCCAATAGCTTGACCATAACAGAGTCATATGCTTGCCTTTTTGGATACCTTAGAAATTATTTGAGTCTGTTTAGAGCTACTTATTATACAATTTTTTTTTGCTATAACTATTATTGTAGGGTCTAACCATAATTCATGTAAGAAAAGTGAAATGCACGCTATGAAAGGGTTCCTGATGGGTCCCTGTGCGTGTGGATGTCCACATGTAGTGACTGTTGCTGTGCACAGATCATAAGCTAAGTGAGCCCCACAGCTGCTACAGTGGGACTGGCCTGGCGAGGATGCAGCGGGTGCACCCTGGCACGGAGCTTCGCTCTCTTCTTTTCGTACCTCAGACAGGCACTGGGCATCATCCTTGGCGATGCAGTTTGTTCAGCTGGTTGAATCTACCATTCATAGGCTGAACAGCAAGCAGTCAATTTGTTGACCTATGCTAATCATGTCAAACCCCAATGAAGTTGTTTAAGCTTTTTGCCAACTGGACCAGATCAGCTCTGTGGCAGTTATTGGAGACTTTGTAACCAACACGATCATGGCCAAAATCCTACATGAACATCAAGTAATTTATACAGATGGGATCTGAAGCGAAAGGATGTTATTAGCTAAGGGACACTTAAAGAAAGAACAACAAAAAAGGATTTGAGAAAGAATTAAAGAAAAAAAGAGGCTGAGAATACAACCTAGGGAGACTCTAGAGAGAGTGTTTATTTATGAAAGGAAATGGGGAGGACTAACGCTGTCACAGAGCAGCGAAGTCATGGAAGGATTGGAATTGCAGTCAACAGATGGAAAAGAGCAGCACCGTGCCTTCTGTTTCATGATCAACGTTATTCCCTTACCATTTTCTCCTGCCACTCTCCATTCAAATGCAGACTCATCGGAGGACAAACACTAGAGATAATGAATCTAACACTCTAGTGCAAACATGAATACTTAAATTGGCAGGTTTTGATTACATGTCTGCCCTGATTTTCCCACCCTCGAGGTATTTAGAAACATCACAGACTCCAGGAATGGAAGAGTTCATGGTAGACTGCTAACTTTTGAGGATAGGATATAAAGTAACTGTCTTTTTCAAGTCTTCAAATATCCAATAATTATCTTGTATACATTATATATGTGCCTATCAACACAGGACACTATGAATACTTATTTAAGAAAAGACTTTTTATATATTATCTTGTTTTCTCCCAGTGACAATCCCATGAGATAGTATGACAAAACTACTATCACTGTTACATTGATTTTAATACTGATGCTCAAAATCTGACATGACTCATTCACAGTCTTGTTCTATTAGTCTTTTATCTACTGACCAGCAAGAGAAAGATCTGGAAAAAATACTCAGGTCTATGTATGCCTTCCATCCCTGTTGTCTTGACAGTGCACTGTCTGTTCTTCGAAGCACTTTTCTCTATGCATACTAGGACTAAAATAAATTAATACAATAACAGGGCTGCATATTAGTTATAGGGAGGATAAAGTATAGAAGGGTCTTACAGCTGTTCCATTACCAACATGGAAATACTAGTTATTTTTAAATGAGTGTGTTGTAACTGAAAGTCATGTCTTTCCATAGAAAATCACAGAAACTAACACTCATAGATCATGATAGATGGCCACAATTGTGATGAATTACAAAACAGAACTAAGCAACACTTGGGGTTCAGCATCGCAAAATTTAGACAATGATTGTTGCTAGTTTTCAGTGGCATTTGCTACTATACCCAGTCTGCTGAGGAACTGAAGTTCTATTAGTCTTTTATCTACTAACCAGTAACTACTGACACTATATCACAGGAAAATTTCCCAGGGAACTTTTTAGAGACGTTTATCAAACAAGATGTGTGGAAGTGCTGAAAGACACTAGGGGATAAGAGTATAGCAATAGAAAATGTAGAAATGATATCAAGTAAAAAATATATATATAAATTAGATAACATTCAATGGTGAATGCAATGTAGTTACATTGCTGGGGAGCCTTTTACAAAAACAAAACACAGAAGTTTGAATTTGGTATCTGATCTTGATAATAGTAACCATCTTTGCCTAGAAATAAGAAACTCCTGCTTTGTTTTACTAAAAGGTTCCTGGGGCTGTGTCTATCATCTCCTGAGGTCTTTCATGCCTGTGTACTTTTATTAAGAAATAACTTGTATTAAAAATTAGTTGGTATTTTATTAAAAAATAAAACAAGAAAAAGAACCCTTTATTGTCTACACCTTTTCCTATTTGGGGACTATATGAAGCAGTTTTTTTCTATGCATATGTGTGTGTTTGCGTGTGTGTTTGTGTTGTAAAACTTTGGATGTGTTTGAAAATGGCTTTGTAAAAATGTTTATAACCCAGCAAAAACCAAAAGTGTGTATCTGTTGATAATCCCTTCGAGTTTTAAGAACCAAGGGTCACTATTTGGCTTGAATGGAACCAGAAAATTTGATTTTCACCTAAGCAGAATAGACTGTTTGGGCTCTCCAAAAGTAATTATTTCTAGAAAGTTGAATTCCGTCCCTAAACCAACCCACTTGTCTCCAGTCATCTATTTGAATTGCTCTGGAACTTCACTGTATGTTTCTAACCAGCAACTTCATTCTTAAAACAACAAGCAAAACAAAAAAGAGAGACAGGAACTATAAACAAGCAATGTAAATAAAAGAAGCTGTGACCAGGAGGACTGCCTGTGAGATTTCATGCCTCAGGTTGCAGCAGCCAATGAGGAATGGAGGCTCACCTGACTTCAAGTAATAAATCCTGACCATCTGTCAGCACCTGGCCAAGACTAACTGCGCATTGCCCCTGTCCATGTGGCTCATGTCTGGAGAATGGGTTGCTGGGGAAGAAAACTGTAAAACAATTGTTCAATTAGGTGGCTAAGTACTTGCCCGGAGCTTGGGGGGCTGTGTTTTATACCCTCTTAGCCTCTAACTAACCTCAGGGCACTTCCTCTCTGGGACTCAGTTTTTCTTCTTGGTAAAATGAGGAAATATTACTTGACCAGTGTTTCCCAATGTCTTGCAGCCGTTGAACAGCTTTTTACAATAAAATCATATAGAGAGCAGCAATGTAGAAAACAGAAATGCAGAGGCCTTCGTTCTCCTGTCACTGACTGGGGAAGCTGAGCCCCGCCCACTCCACCTCCCTGGAGGCTCCCAGCAGCCCTGGAGGTGTTCCACAAAATGCTTAGTTTCTGCAGAAGACCATTGAGGATGCCTCCAGTAATTTCTTAGGGCATGAAAAGCCTAAAAATGAAAACATTTAAATCTTCCTGACCATCTACAACCTATAAATACAATGACACAAGCAAGGGGTACTTTGCTTTAAAATGGCACCAGAATTCTTGCAGTCTTTTACTTTAAATAAGTGATTTCCAACCATTTGGCAAGTGGAATACTTTTAATTCTCCCCAGGGAGTCAGGTCCCTGAAGTCAGGTGAAGAGTCTCCTGAGAGTGCTGATAGTGTTGTCCCAAGACAGGTGTGAAATGACATAGGCCTCAATAATGATCAGTAATGACACCTCTCTCCTGCTCCAACTCCCAAAGGGAGTGTGAAAATGAAGGAGATCAGATGCACTAATTGTTCATAAAGGGGAGGAGGTGCTGCTCTCCTTATCTCCTTTCTGGAACCCTGGCAGGTTGTGAAGATAAGAATGGAGAAAGGTCCATGGTGGCCGTAACTGGCCTAGAGAGGCATTCTTTGCATTCTGCAGGTAGATAATAGTCTGAAGTTGCTCACTCCCGGTTTATTTTAAAGAATTTAAAATTGTGAGCTGCAGAGACTCTCATTTGATAATCATACACATGTAGACCCCTCTCTCCTTCACTTGCAATGGATTTGCTTTATTCTCTTGTGTGTCTGCAGGACACTTTCTAACTTAAAAATGTCCTGGCACAATTCCCACCCTGCCTCCTTATGGGTGCCCAACATATGCAACTACGCTGAAGAGTCTTGTGCCTGCAGAAGAGAAATCGTATTTTTCATATCCTTAGAAATCAAACCTTCTTTTTGGCCTGTGGATAAATGCTTCGTGTATCATGAATTAACTGTTGAGCACCAGGAATGCAACAGAGCTACCAACTGGTTAATTGTCTTCGATGATTTCTCCCTTTGACCGGCAGCATTGACATCTGTAGTTTTTGAAAGTTTTGTTCAAGAGCAACTCAACTGTGAATTGTGGGAAATTGTGTCGCCGCTTCCTAGAAAGAGCATGGTTTATTCATGTGTTTTGATTCCCTCCTGGTATGGTGTGCATTAAAGAGAATTCAGCAAGGTAGACAGTAATGGAGGAGGAGCTGCAATTTTACTGCACCCATTTTGTTGTTGTTGTTAAGTAGCTAAAACCTTCCTGTGTTCTGCTCTGCTTGTGTTTTAATACTAGCCAAAGCCTGTTTAAAATACTTGCGGCCAATGTTTATTATGCTGTGGTTGCACTGTAGTATGTAAAGTGGTTATTAAGTACTGCGCTTATAAATCACGTGGAGAGCCCTATGACATTTTTACTGGCTTGTTTTGTTCTGTGTTCCTATTCATAGGATATCAATAACGAGAGTGACAGCTGACATTTCTCTTGCTAAGAGGTCTGTCCTAAATAATCCCAGCAAGAGAGCAATAATTGAACGTTCGAACACTCGGTCCAGCCTAGGTAAGATGTTCAAATGTGGTTCTTCTCCAACCTGTGCTTTCAGACGGGGAGGACACGTGTTGCGTTTGGAATGGCTTTCCCAGTTTGCTCCCCATTCAGAAAGGGGAAGCGCTGATTAACTGGAGAGAATGCTATCCCTGGAAAAGAAGGCAGCAGAATCCTGCAGCAGCCAGAGCCTCCTCTCCCTCAGCTCTAGCCAATTAGCTAATTAGGAGTCTGGTGGGAAGAATCCTCACGGCCTCTCCTGGTCTGTTACTGCCTAACCATGCGAAACCACTCATCCCCGCTTTGCCCGCGTTTCTCAACATGGCTAATAATCTGTCACATCTGACTCATAGCTGACATGAAAGGAAATGAGATGTTCAGCCTTCTCAGGTCTTTAGAAGAAAGCTAGACCGTGGTGTTCTCAGTGTTGCTTCTGCTGCTAACTGGTAGTACCCAGAATAGTCACATCGTTAAGTGGAAATAGTAACTACATTAAGAACACAGAGGGAGATTCCCAGAGCACCAGTTAGAAAACATCCTAAAATTTACCATGATGAAGAAGAACACACACATGCTATATGTGTTTAGCTCCATCAAGACATATGTGAGCAGAGTTGTAGATTCACCATCCACAGAAGCAAATCCATGCTGCTGGGGAAATCACAACATTCATATGAAAAGGCTGTTTGTGGTTTCTATGATTCCAAGAGTGGCGTAGTACACTCATAACTTTCTGGGAGTCTCTTTTGCATTCTCATTCTGTAGGCAACTTGTTTTACTGCCCCTCTTCTTCCTGGGTAGATAGGGGTCTTCTATGCCACTACATTTTTTTAATCTACTGAAATGAACTCTATAGATGATTGAAAACTAAAAATAAAATTTCCAAATAGATTGCATGCCCAAACATCTCATCAAGAACTCACTGAAGGCTGTGCCAAGAATGGAGCAGGTTGGAAAGAGGCTACAAAGTATTATCTCTATATTCCTGGCATGGAATTAGCACATGGTACTTGATCAATAAATGTTTGTTTGGTGGTTGCTTTGTGAAAGAATGCTAAACTTACCAAATGAAATAGGTGTCAGAGCTTGTCAGGGCAAGATCCCAGACATCAGTGGGGGTGTTTTGTTTGTTTGTTTGTTTGTTTTTTCTTTTTTTTAGTCCTGTATTTAGTACAGCCTTTCACATACAGAATGAAACACTTTTAATTAGTTTTTTACTGATTGTTTTTTAGAGAAAGGAAGGGAGAGAGAAATATCAGTGAGAAACATTGATCAGTTGCCTCCTGCACATATGCCCCAACTGGGGATCAAACCCACAACCTGGGTATGTGCCCAGACCAGGAATCGAAGCTGTCACCTTTTGGTGTACCGGATGATACTCCAACCAAATGAGCCATACCAGCCAGGGCGAGAATGAAACACTTGTATAAGGCACAATATTTTCACCTTGAGGAAGTGATGATGGCAGAGTTGATAATGATGAACCAGATTAGGTAACTGACTAAAGTCAAGTATCATGGGTGACAAGGATGCCAGATTAGATTGAAGATTTCTAAAACAAGCATTGTTCTCTGTTCTTCTGTCTTTCACTCTCCTCTAACTCCTCACAGTGCTGTTGGCTTCCTCTGATGTATAATTGGACGCTAATGGATACTTAAAAGCAGAAGCTAGGTCGCCTGACTAACAATTGCATGAAACCAAGGGCTTCATGAATATGCTTTGAAGTCATTGGTAATCTAGTCACCTGTTGTCAGAATCAGCGGAGTGAGTGGGTGGAGTTACTGTAAATATTGAGGAAGAGCCCTAGCTGGTTTGGCTCAGTGAATAGAACGTTGGCCTGTAGACTAAAGGGTCCCAGGTTAGAGTCTAGTCAGGGGCACATGCCCAGGTCACAGGCTTAATCCCCAGTAGGGGGCGTGCAGGAGGCAGCCGATCAATGATTCTCTCTCATCATTGATGTTTCTATCTCTCTCTCTCCCTCTCCCTTCTTCTCTGAAATCAATAAAAATATATTAAAAAAAATATTGAGGAAGAAACAAGGTAGATGTCAGTTCACTGTTTTCCCCCTTTACTCTGTAAATTTGTATACCACAAACATGGAGTTAATTTAATGGCAGTCTATTATAATAATCACTGTGTGAGCCACTTCTGTCCATTTGCCTGCTGTTGATGCACATTTGCAGATTCCTTCACCAAATGCTTATTGAACACTTGTTACGTGCCATGCATTATGCCAGATCTGGGAAGAGCAAATGTGACTAAGACAATGTATCTTACACATGAGCAAACCGAAAGAGGAAACAGATGGGTAAATACTCCTTGATAGGGGAAGTATGAGCAAAGAGGTGGGGTATTAAGAAAGAGGGGTAGAGAGTAAGAAGTGTCTGAGAAGACATCTCAGAAGTTTTATTTGAGCTCGTTCTTCAGGGCAGAAAAGAATGTGCAAAGGCATCAGCATATAGAAAAACACTGTGTGTTTGAGAAACAACTCATTTTTTACAGAGCCTGCTTAGAAAATGGGAGGGGAGACATGGTTTTAGAGCAAGGGAAGAGACTGAGAAAAGTAGATTGAGGCCAGTATGTTAGGGCTCCATGTGTCTTGCTAAAGAGTTCTCCAGAATAGAACCCATGAAATGTTAATTTTAAAAGATACCAAATAGTTGTTACATCCAAAATGTTTTCTATGATCAAATAAATTTGGAAATTGTGCATTAAACAATTGGCAGTTTTCTTCACTGCAAGACTTCTTAGAGCCGTTAGGATACAAAGGGCAATGCACATTTGAAATTCCAAGAGAAACTATTATAGTATGCAATATTTCTCTTACAGAAAATCTCCTTCTTCCCATAGGATATATCAGGGGATTTGTTTCCCAGGAAACTCATTTTGGGAAATGTTGCTTCGAGCCTAGGAAGCCACTGAAATATTATAAGCATTTTGGACGTAAAAAAGATCCCAGGTGATAGAAAGACTGGAGAGAGATGGGTCCAGATCAGTCATGGCCAAGTTGTAGAAGCGTTCATTAACATCCCCCCAGCATCATAGTCCATGACTTCTCAGAGACCCGTTTGTCTGGAATGAGGTCATGAGGAAACTTCCATTGGAACCCTTCTGAGGATCAGCCTGATTAGTCAAGATTGTTTGGTTTGGTTAAAGTTTTTCCTTAAGAAAATTAGCTATGTTGCCCTGGCCAGTGTGGTTCAGTTGATTGAGTTGTCGTCCCATGCACCAAAAGGTAGCCAGTTCCATTCCTGGTCGGGGCACATACCCAGGTTGCGGGTTAGATCCCTGATTGGGGTAGAACTGATTGGTGTTTCTCTCTCTCTCACATCAATGTTTCTCTCTCTAAAAAAAAAATCAATAAAAACATATTAAAGAAAAAGAAAATTAGCTATGTAGATAATTTCTCTTCCTCACACATATAATTTATTTATTGCATTCTGTATACGTATTATCCAAATATTGGACCTACAGCAGTATATAGTGTGGCTCTCTGCAACCTCCTGGCTGGCTCTGCCTGACCTCTCTGCTCATGACAGAGTGCCCATTGCCCAAGGGTTTAGTGTTAGTCAAGCAGGTGTGCCTGTCCTCTGCACCTGTCAGAAACCACACTTTCATCATTGCTGGTGCAGAGGAAATCAGGCCACAGCATTGCTGAGGTATTTACACAGAGACTTGAAGTGCCTCGAGGGTTCCTTGTACCAGAGCAGTCTAGTTTAAAAATATGGTTTTCAGATTTGAAAATTAAAGCAATATAGACTTATTCTAGCATAGCCCTGGCCAGGAGTTAGCATTAAACCAGTTTAATGAAAACAACAAATGAAGAGTGTACCGCAACAGCCTGAGGCTAAAATTTACTACAATAAAAAGAAAATTTAGTTTTTAAACTTCTCTCATAAGAAAAATCTCTTTTTAAAAACTGTTTCTGATGTGAGAAAAAAGGGACAGGTATGCTATTATTACGATAACAAATGTAGAATGTAATTTCAGAAAAATGTTGTGAATAAGCCCAATTGTACAAATTCTTTATAAGATGAAACCTTTCAAGTATTAAATAATATCAAAAACAACTGTCTAATACAGATGATGCATCAGTGATTCTGTGAAAAATAAAAAGTTTATGCTTTTAGGCAAAGCCCAAGAGAATAGAGTTACATGACAGTTCTGAGCTACATGACAGCATTCATCACCTCACACTCCTTGTCAATCCATTAGATTGTGGGAGGGAGAACTTTTCAATGGGTGACATGAACTTGAATTTATACTAGATTAGCAAAACAAATCATGGGATTCTGGTACAAGCCCTTTTCAGAGAGGATGGTTAGAGCAACACCACCTTTTCTAGGCCACCTTTGAAGTAATTTAAATTAGCCATGTCTACACTTTGTCTACTCTGCAATTTGGACGAGATTACAACATTGTGAGGTCACACCTGTAGCTCAAAATAAAAAGTAAAAAGCAAAACAAGATCATCTCTCTGAAAATTAGTCTAAATCAGACTTGGACGTGACCCAATAAGTTAGATGATTTATAAAATATATATTTAAAAGTCTTTTTTGTATTTTAGAAAGTCACATTATGTTTTTATGGGTAACCTGTTTTGCTTTTAAAAAATATCTGGATTGCTTTAGATATTGACAAAAACTAAATTTTTTGTTTGACCAGATTCACTCATGGATTTGGATAACTTGGCTGTTACAGCCACTAAATAGATTTGCATCTAGATGCATTGCAACATTTTAATATATTTGATCTTAGTTGTTTTTTTTTAAATAATAGGATAATTTTGCCTCAGAACAGTCCACTGGCCCTAATACTTAAAGTAAGACTTAGCAATATGCTTGTTGTTAGATTAGATGCAGAACATTTAATCAGGGATACAAAAATATATACATCAGTCAAAACAGGTGGATTGTGGGATTTTTAAAAGGAGATCTATAAAATATTAATATATAAGTTGATCATTGGTAAAAACATTTCAGTGCAATTTGCTTTCCATGAGATGTTGCTCTGTATATGTGTCTCAGTTGTTTCCTGAATGTGGTTTTAGCTAAAATAAATTTCTTTAGGCAAAGCAACAATTAAAATTAACATAGCTATGCCCCTGACTGGTATGGCTCAGTTGGTTGGAGTGTTGTCCCATACACCAAAAGGTAGCAGGTTAGATTCCCAGTCAGGACACATATCCAGGTTATGGGTTCAATCCCCAGTCAGGGTGCATATAGGAGACAATCATTCGATGTCTCTCTCTCTCTGTCTCTCTCTCTTTCTCTCCTCCCCCTTCTCCTTTCCTCTCTCTCTAAAATCAATAAAAAAAATCCTCAGTTAATGATTAAAAACGAACAAACAAAAATAGTTATATAAATAGCTAACTATTAAGGTGAGTGTAAGTAAGAAGCAAATCAAGAGAGCCATCTCAAATTTTCTACCGTTTGGTTTTATGCAAAACTCAAACCATTTCTCTCTCTTTAGAAAAGATCTTAAGTTAGATCAGAATATGTAAATTCCAAATGTTCTGTTTTTCAATATAGATAAGCATCTGAAAGAGGGGTCTATATTTTTTAAATATAAGAACTAATTTTTTTTAAGTAACCATGACTTGTTATTTATTATTTCTCTTTTTAGCGGAAGTACAAAGTGAAATTGAAAGAATCTTTGAGTTGGCAAGATCTTTGCAACTGGTTGTTCTTGATGCAGACACCATCAATCACCCAGCACAACTTATAAAGACGTCTTTAGCACCAATTATTGTTCATGTAAAAGTCTCATCTCCCAAGGTAATTAGCTCATCTCCAGCTTAAGGTTTAGCAGCTCTTTTGTTTTTTCCTCTGTGCTTTTTTGTTCATGTGCAAGGAGAATGTCTTGTGTAAACCCTTTTTATAATGAGCACAGTTTTAATTCCCACAGTTTGTAAAGGTTCTAGAAGTTCTGAGAGTAAAAATAGTCCATTTCTTCAAAAAGTCCACAGTCTATTGTGGCAGTTATGCAGGAATATAAGAGAAACAAAAACTAAGAAAGGTGAGGAAAAGTGAACTGGCTTTTCAGAGACTTTGGGTTCTATTTTGGTAAATTTCTTGGGTAATATTGATTCTTCTATCACCTATATTTTCTCCCCAGTTGAGAGAGTACATAGTTCTGGAAAGGTTTCTAGATTTATCATATATAAAGTCAAACGTCACCATATAAAATGTCTTATGGAAACATTGCAGACCCTTACATTTGTGGTTAGGTTGGATTCTTCAAGGAATATAATTATTCTGTGATGACGCACATGGGATATTTGCCATGTATCTTCAGGCCACCAGCGGAGAGAAAAATGAAAGTGAGACAGCCTCCAATTGGTCACTTTTGATTTGGGTGTTCTTTCATTTTTTAAAACTGTTGATAATGTAAAAAGTGATTATAAAATATGTACCCTTGGGAGGTACTACCTTAATAATCAGGTTTTTTTCGGTGCCTCCAAGAGTTCATTTTAATTCCAATTCAACTTCCAACCAGAGCAGTAGTCTCCTCTCATGGGTGGAGAACGCCTCCAGGAGCTGGGCTTTCCCCCAGCCCTTCGGATGTCCTCGGCCTTCCATCTCTGGCGCTGGTTCTGCGCAGGATGAGCTTGTCCAAACCGAGCCAGGCCCTTTGGGGAAGCATTAGGATGGATTGAAATTTGAAGCACCCTTCACTGCAGTGCGATAGATTTCAACCCCTCTCACCTCCTGTCCCGGTCACCCCCAGTCACCATGGATTCACAAGTGCAGCAACTGGGGTTCTGGTAGCCATACGTGCTGAAGTATCATAGTACACTAGTACTATTTTTGGGAGAGGGTCCTGTTTCAGCTAAGAAAAAGTTAAAGGAGAGTAGACTATATGGCAAAATGCAGTTATAGCAGTGCTCAAAAGACAGATACATCACTGGTTATATGTGGCCATATACCAGTACACATGTTTTGCTTAGCTTTCTATCAAGAAATCATCCTATCAATGTAAAATTAAACTGGGATGCCTCAATAATTACTATCAACAAAAGGACCCAATGTATATAAATGACTCTGATATTTATCTGACATTGAGATAGTGAACCAAAATATGACAACTGATTTTGGACAATAAATGACCCGGTACAGATCAGTTCCTCCACTTTGGCAGGACTCCACTTTTGAAATCTCTGGGTAAAATCCAGGGTAGGAACTCAAGATCCCACCCAGACCTCACATGGAACAAAAATAGGATAAATATATCAAATCCATTATAAGTGAAAGTCAGTGTAAGTGGATGATGTCATCACAGAGTTGATATATGTGATTTGTCACTTTGTATTTTCTCTCTATTCATACTCAGTGCTAAACAGACTATTAAAAGGGGCCTTGGTTTGTTTGGTTTTCTTTCAACTCATTGACGGTATCTCAGATCTGTGTCTTCTTCCATCAGGTTTTACAGAGGTTGATTAAATCTAGAGGAAAGTCCCAAAGTAAACACTTAAATGTGCAACTGGTGGCAGCTGATAAACTTGCACAGTGCCCTCCAGTAAGTACAATCATTTTTGGTCTTAATCATTCTTGATTAGTTAAGAAAGGGTAGTGTTTCTTTCTATATTAGCACTAGAGGCCCAGTGCATGAAATTTGTGCACGTGGAGTGGGGAGGTCCTTCAGCTCAGCCAGGCCTGCACCCTCTCCAATCTGGGACCCCTCGGGGGATGTCTGACTGCCTCTCGAAATCCAGGCCGCTGGCTACTAACTGCTTGCCTGCCTGCCTGCCTGATTGCCCCTAACCCTTCTGCCTGCCTGCCTGATCGCCCCTAACCACCTCTGCCTGCCTGCCTGATTGCCCCTAACCCCTCTGCCTGCCTGCCTGATCGCCCCTAACCACCTCTGCCTGCCTGCCTGATCACCCCTAACTTCTCCCTTACCAGCCTGATCGCCTCTAACTGCTCCCCTGCTGGCCTGATCGCCCCTAACCACCTCTGCTTCACCCCGCACCTGGGACCCAGGATTTCCTCCTCCATCCAGTCACAGGCACCCAGGACCTGGGCTTCCCTCCCTCTGTCTGGCCACAGGCACCCAGGACCAGGGCCGGCTTCACCCAGGCCAGCGGCAACCGCAGGCACCCGGGACCACGGGGCAGGCGGCTTGTCCCTCTCCCAGGCTGCAGCCCCAGGCACTGGTGCCTGGGACCGCGGGGTGGGCAGCTTGTCCCTCTCCTGGGCCACAGGTGCAGCCACTGGCACCCAGGACCATGGGGTGGGCAGCTTGTCCATCTCCTGGGCCGCAGCCTGGCTGGTCCCCATTCCTCTCTCCCCAATGTTGAGTGTCTGAGCCATTACAGTGTGATGGCCATTTGCATATTAGCTCTTTATTATATAGGATTGTCGTTTTTATTCTAGATTGATAGTGTGGTGGTATGTTATCATAAACCTGAGGAATTTCTTAGAACAAACTGATGCTGCCATGTTGGCTACACTCAGGCATCCAGAACTGGGTGATGTCTGTCATGTAATAAAAAACGAACTTAGTGTCCCATATTTAATGTCCTTAACTGCTACCTTGATTACCTGGCCAATTCAGCAAACTACTGAGTCAATGTGTATGCTTTTATGAAAAGAAAACCTACTGATTTGACTTTCCATTTCTTTTCTGCCTGAAAGTTCTGATAGGCATAAAAGATTATGGCATCGATGGTTGAGAATTTATTGGAACTAGAAGAGCCCTGTGGCTAGAGCAGATGAAAAGGTCAGGGTTAAGTAAGGTGAAAAGCCATATTATGGCAGCGTTTCTCCTAGTGCCGTTGCCAGGAAACAGCTGCTGAGTTGGAAGCCAAGCAAATGGTGGGAGGGGTTGGGGGAGGTAGCAGGTATCATGTGGGTCACCAGTGGTTGGTCAGTGTCTGCACCTGCCCAGCTGACTTACTATTTCTGTGCCTGTGTTTCTCTAAAGAAAATAACTTTTTTCTACTGATTTGATTCACTAGATTTCTACTCGTGTAAGGATTATTTATGCTCTGAAGAAGCTTAAAATTCAATTCAGATGTTTACAGAGCACAGACTATGGCCTGGCCAAAATGGCTCAGTTGGTTGTCCCATACACAGAGCAGTTGACAGTTTGATTCCCAGTTGAGGCACATACCTGAGTTGCAAGTCCAATCCCTGCAGCCAATTGATGTCTCTCTCTGTCTCTGTCTCTCTGTTTCTCTCTCTCTCTCCCCCGCCCCTCCTCTCTGTCATCTCTGTCCATGGGTGAAGATTAAAAATAAAAAGTTCAGACTCTAGAGCCAGATTGCCCGATTTCAAGTCCACTGTAATCCACACTAGGATTACATCCCTAATTATGTAATCTTTGGCATGTACCTACCTCATTGGGTTTGTGTAAAGACTCAATGAGTGAGTATGTGGTGAAGCTCTTAGAACGTGCCTGACACATGATAAGCACCATCTAAGTGTTTTTGTTATAATTACTGGATGTACATGTGCTGGGCCATGCCTAACCTGTCAAGCTCTGTAAGGACCTGTGCCGATCTGGTTTACTATTGTATCTCAAGCTCCTACATAGTAGGCCCACAATAAATATTTAGTAATATTTGTACAATAAGAGTATTAGTGAAATTTATGCCATAAGAATAATAGAATGTCTCTAATCCTTATAGTTACCTAGTAAGATAAGCATTATTATCCCCATTATATAGGTGAGATAACTGAAGACAGAGAGATGAAATGGTTCTCTAAGGTCACACAACAAATTAGGATTAGATTTATGATTTATCTAGTTCCAAAACCAATTTCCTCCCCTCACAACCCCACCCAACTATACACACACACATACACACACACGCGCGCGCACACATGCAACATGCGCCTGGTTACCTGCCTGCAGATAATTTGGATAACTTGGAGTCTGGAGTGCTATGTTAAGAAGTCTAACTTCACATTGTCTACTGATGAAGCCCATGTACATAGTGGAATATATGATTAAAGCACTGAGCATATATAGAAGAATGTATTACCCAATTGAAGGATGCTGACCTTTACTGATCAGCAACCAAAAGCCAGGAACTATGCTATTGTTTCCAACTTTTAGAACAATCTTATAAGGGTAATTTTATCAGTTGGGGTCTTCTGGGAAGCAGAGACCTAAATGGAATTAGAGCTGCAGATTGATTGAGAAAATGCCTATGTGAGATTAAAGGGAACCAAGAAGGAGAGCCTTCAGACCTGCTGTAGGTCTGGCCCTGGGAAGGGAGAAGGGGAAGGGGAGGATGGGTAGGAGGAGCCTCAGACTGTGATGCAGCCTTGAGACATCTCAGTCACCTAGATGTGGGTCCCCAGAGAAAAGGTTGCCCATTAGAGTGTTACAGAAAAACCAGAGAAGAACCAAGCAACACGATGTGGTTCTCAGCCTTCCTAATGCCGCGACCCTTTAATACAGTTCCTCATGTTGTGGTGACCCCCAACCATAAAATTATTTTCATTGCTACTTCATAACTATAATTTTGCTACTGTTATGAATCGTAATGTAAATATCTGATATACAGGATGTATTTTCAGGGGTCGCGATCCACAGGTTGAGAACCGCTGGTAGAGAGACGAGTTACATTTAATTATGCACGGGCCCAGAGGAAAATGTCTCTCAAATTCTGGGCGAAATCACACAGGAAGTTTCCCGTATTTATACCATTCCACCTTCTTTGTCTCCCAAATATGGGGTTTTTCCAGTTCCCTTTGCAAGTTCTTAAAGGGCCCTATGTGCTGGGGCTTTGAGACCTCGACCAAAGGCTTGGCCTGACGCCAGCACTGATAACTTTGTCTGGAGAAGGTTTAATGGCCTCTCTGAAATGGGAGTAGTCTTATTTTCCTCATTATTTAAGCCAGCAAGCATTTACAGAAGCCAGAAATAGCAGGGTTAAAATTTCAAACAGCAGTTTTTATATAAGATGGATGCTTCAAGAGGAGTCTCATGTTGGGAGAAATATCCCGGCTCTCGTCCCCCTGATGCGCTCCGGCGTTGACAGGCAGCAGCCTGGGGAGCAGGGCCTCAGCTGGAACGCTGTGGTGGATGCTGAAGGTGCAGCAACCCAGGTGTGTCTGCTGCCTACACTTGTCATGGCAGGTTCCAACTCAAGGGGAAATCTGAGCATGCGCCTCGATGTCTGCCCTAGCGAATAACATTATCCTCACTTTCTAGAAGAGAAAGCTCAGTCCCTGGGTAAGAAACTTGTTGGAGGTAGGAATTCGTAAATGAGCCCCAAGATCCAACCTTAGATCTGTCTGACTCTAACTTCTGTCCACCATGCCACTCTACCTTTACACGTAGCTGTGTGATGTAGCTGAATCTTCTGATTCCCAACATGGACATGCAAGAAATAGTCCATTTTCTATTTTGACCCCATCCCACTGGGCAGGCAGGATATTTACCTATGCTTGAAGCCACCCTAATCCAGAGCAGAACAAAGACCCCAAGTCATAAGTGGGGGGTTGGTGAGGAAGTTGAAGGGAGTGAGGGGGATCATTCCAAACCTGAAAACCATTCACCGGTGCATGTGATCCTCAGGGAAGGATGCTCTGCTGCATCAGCCCTCATGTGGAACAGGGGGCCTTCGGCAAGGCAGGGAGACACACAGCCCCTCCTCTCTGGGACATTGGCAAGGGAGCTCCCTTTTCTCTCTCTCTGAGGGAGGGGACGTGTCTTCCTCTCTTCCCCTCTTGTTGCTATTAAAGGAACTTCCTCTCTGCTTTGGTTGTACTAAAAGCACCCCCACTTTCTTTTGTTTCCAGAGGTAGTTAGCAAAATCTCTCCAACCCATTTAGGCTTTTGGGAAACAAAACCCGGTGGGGGGGGAGGGGGTTGGGGGGGGATTGAGAGCTGGCAATTTCCTGCCACGACCCCCATCCTTCCCACCCCCACCTCATGCCAGACAAGGGAGAACAGACCTGCCACCTGCTTGAACAGTAGACAAGAACAGGAGAAAATACAAAAGGAAAATCACAGATTAGTATCTCAAAACTTGTTTGCCATGTCTACCTTCACAAATGTAGAAAGCTCTACGCTGTGAGGGAGGCTGGTTCTGTGAGGCCCAGAGGGTGGTGCTGAGATCAGTGGGAGTTTCCAGGAGCAGGTCTGAGTGGACTTGAGAGCAGTGAGGCCCGCCTAATTTCACTTGGCAGTGGCCACTTTGACCCACTAAGAGGAAGGCATTTCACAAGTCCGCCCAACTGCAAATGCTGAAAACAATAGGCTGGCTTTCTAAGTAGTGAGCTCCTTGTCTCAGGGGTGAGGGTGGAGTAGGCTGTGTGAACAGATGTCAGAAATATTGTGAAAGAAATCTCCTCTGGTGAAGGCTATGGGTATGGTCGGCTAAGATATAGATATTGTATCTAAGATTCCTGCTTGACTCTCCAAGACTCTGATTCTATCTAGATTTTGAAAGTGACCAGCATAGAGATATTATTGAACCCAGGTGGGCTGAGGAGCCCAGGGAAGAGGAGAGTATAAGATCCATCAAGTCAGATGATAATTTCATTGGTTCGGAGCATTAT